AAAAAAATATTTTTTTCACAAAAAGTTCTGAAATAAAAATTTCTGAAAAAAATGTTCTCAAAAAGCTTTTCCTAAACATTTTCTGAAAATAATTTTTTTTTTTCAGAAAATTCTTTTTTAGAAATTTTCAGAAAAAGTTTTTAAAAAAAAAAATTTTTTTCAGAACATTTTTCTGAAAAACTTTGCACAAAACTTTTTTTTCAGAACATTTTTTGAACATTTTTTTTATAATTTTTTCAGAACATTTTTAGAATTTTTTTTTTCTGAAAACCTGAATTTTTAGAAACATTTTAGAACATTTTTAGAAAAACAATTTCTAAAAAAAAAATTTTTTCTAAAAGAATATTTAAAAAAAAAAATTAGTTTTTGACCAAAAAATGACAAAAAGTTAAAAGTGAAAAAAAAAAATCTAACAAATTTCTAAAAATGTTCTCTAAGTGCCCTGAGAAATATGCAGGAAAAGATACAATTTTGAAAATTTTTTGTCAAACCTTTTTAGTTTTTGACCTATCAGAGTTTTTGTCAAAATGTGAACTTTTCATGTCATATTTGGTCAAAAACTAAAAACATTTTTTTCAAAATTGTATCTTTTCCTGCATGTTTCTCATAAATTTAGGATATTTAGAGAACATTTTTGGAAATTTGTTAGATTTTGTTGTCAAAATTTTAACTTTTTGTGTCATTTTTTGTTCAAAAACTAAAAAACTTTGACGAACATTTTTGTAAAATTACTTTCATATTGGTTCAATATCTGTATACAAATGCACACAATGCTCCAACAACTTTCTTTAATCTGGAAGGGGTTACAATACAGCTCAAGTTACACAAGGAAAGTTACTATAAATTTACAATGACACAATTAAGTAAATAAGTGCTTCAAATAAATACGCTTAATTTTTACATAACTAATAAAAACCTAAGTGTAAAAAAAAAGCTTTCTCCTCCATTGCACTAGCAATCAAATACAGCTCAAGTTACACAATGAAAGTCACTGCAATTACACAATTCAGTAAAGCAAGTGATCAGTTTATGACAATACCAGAGGAGGCACAACGAATGGAATGACAAGAACAAGCTGGGTAACACAATCAAAAGCTGTGTTGGTCTCAATTTTTTATTGCTGTCCATTTACTTTCTTTAAGGGACCAAAATGACCCTTGACTCCTGCCAAACTCCACAGCATGGAAGAACCTGCAGAGCAAAAGAAAACAGCATTGTGCCACATGTTAACACAATTTTTTACTAACTGCTACTAGACACTACTACTACTTATTTTACTAATTTACTTCCATTCAAAGAAAATCCAGTCATATCCATTTACTTTCTTTATTTGAAAACAATCTGGCAATATTTTAAAATAATAGGTCAATCAAACTGTGATACAAACAGAAAAGAGTCTAAAATATGTTTTATTTTGAAAATGTAATGCTCCTTGTGATACAAACAGAAAAGAATCTAAAAGATGTTTTATTTTGAAAATGTAATGCTCCTTCAATGCAGTCATCATTGACATAATTTTTTAACAAGAGCTGGAGCCAGATTTTGATATGCACAGCGCCTCGGTGTGGCGGGTACATCAAATTCTACGACATCACAACCTGTGCAACCTGTGGCCTGTCTTGATTGTAATCTGTGTGAAATATGTCTCATTTTTTACCTGGGTCAGGATAAACTGAAGTGCTGTCACACACAGAACTTTCTCCGTTGGCCAGAAGTCCGTACAGGTGCATAAACGTGGCCGCACAGCCAAACATTTCTCCATTATGACAACTGTTGACGAGAGGGGAGACCGATAACAACACTGGACCGCAGCACTAAACACAAGCTAGCATGTGAACTTATGGACAAAAAAAAGTTTACCTAACGCACTAGTCATGTCGATAACTTGACTAAACACCACATAAACGCATCCATTATTTAGTTTAATAGAGAAAAGCTTGTGATCAGGTTATATTTCCCCTTGTGACTTCCATACACTCTAGGACGATTAAATGTTTGTTTGATAAACGAGAGCAATATTTCCGGTTTAATTTAAATACCGTGTCTTGCTACGCTATAGAGAGGAACTGACGTACATTTAAAGGTCCCGTAGTCTAGATTATCCTTGTAATACAAATACAAAAACGTTTTTGTAAAATAATCTTCAAAGTGTAATACTTACCTTACGGTTTTGTCTTTTCTGGGCGAGCCATCCGCTGTGCATTGAGTGTCCACAGAGAAAACGCTGGACCGCAGCACTAAACACACGATAGCAGCCCAACTTCTCTACGCCAAGAAAAAGTTTATCGAGAACAAAAGAACTAACGTCCATAAAATGGCCGAACAACACATTCATTATGTAGTTTAAACGTTAAAAGTTTGTCACGCTATCTTTCCCCTCGTAACATCCACACACACGCACTCGACGACGGCCAAATGTTTGTTTGAAAAAGGAGAGCGCACACTTCCGGTGTTATTTAAATGCTACAGGAAACCAGTGCGGAAACCAGGAAGAGGAAATTACGTAAAACGTAAAATAACGTGAAAGAATTTGTAGACGTGTGTACAAATAAATACAAATTAAAACAAATTATTAAAAATGATTCATGAATTAATAAAGAACACATGAGAAGTTTCTTAAGCTATGCCCATTTTTGTTGTAAAAAAAAGTTTTTTGTTACGCCAACTTTTTAACAGTAAACTACTATACAAATAAGTTCCTGAACAAATCTCCGAAAAAAAGTTTCTCAAATATGACTAAAACTACACTAATTTGCCTCAAAATACTTTTAAATTTAAAAAATATATACTTTTTTGTTACGTCAATTTTTGATCACAGTAAAATACTATAGCAATACGTTCCTAAACAAATCTTAGAAAATAAGTGTCTCAAAAATGATTACAAATACACTCACTTGCCTAATAATATGTGGCAATATAATTTTTGTGGTAAAAATATAGAAAATAAATAATTTTTAGTAGGTCAACTACGGCTTCTGAGTTCAACATTTCATTAAAAATTAAATTAAGCTGAACATAGAAAAATATAAACTCAACAGTACGAGTTGAAAAACATCAAAAAACACAGTGAACGTGTTTCCACTCCTGAGTGTTTTGCAAATTAATGCAGACCACAAGGAACACAACCCACTTTTGTATATGTTTTGTTTTTTACTTTTTAAATGATGACATTATTGTTATTGTATTGAAATCCTAAAACTTTTACAATCGTTTATTCGTGTGTATCAAAACAATACGTTTACTGCCCTTCGCTTTTATTCTTCCAGCTTCAACCTCTCTGCCGTCACTTAAACAGCATCTTGGAGCTCTCATTATCTGATCCCTATTCATGGGAATATTTTTAAACATCTGGCCCTGTTAATGGGATCACAGCATCAAAATCCCTCCCATTATTCAGCGGTATAAAGCGGCGCTGATCATTCCTCACCTTGCAAATTCATCTGCTGTTTCTGCCTCTTTGTTTGGCCGTTTCAATAACTTGGCATGCAAAGAGAATTCTTTTTAGTTGACAAATGCAAAAAGGAAATGATTTATTGCCGATTTATTTATTCACCCTCCATCTCTCCCCTTCCCACCCCTCTCATCTCCATCACTGTACAGAGGGGAGGTTTTTTAATTTCTTGCATGAAAACAATGCCATTGCTTTTCTGGCTTCACCTGCCAAACAAGCCCCAGCCGTGCATGGCGACAGATGGCCTCCCATCATCGCTGAATGTCTGATTGGTCCTGGGAGAGGACTGTATGTGTGTGTATGTGTGTGTGTCTATGCGTTAGTGAGGGATAAAAAGAGAGAGAGAATATAGGGGCGTCTCACATCCGTCATGCATGTAATGTGTTCTAGTCCCAGGTGAATGCACTCCCTCCCAGCCCACCCTGACGCCTGCACCCCCACCAGCCAGTCAGCTCTGGGCACCGCTGGATAAATGATCGAACAACACATTCATTATGTAGTTTAAACGTTAAAAGTTTGTCACGCTATCTTTCCCCTCGTAACATCCACACACACGCACTCGACGACGGCCAAATGTTTGTTTGAAAAAGGAGAGCGCACACTTCCGGTGTTATTTAAATGCTACAGGAAACCAGTGCGGAAACCAGGAAGAGGAAATGACGTAAAAGACGTAAAATAACGTGAAAGAATTTGTAGATGTGTGTACACATAAATACAAATTAAAACAAATTATTAAAAATTATTAATGAATTAATAAAGAACATGTGAGAAGTTTCTTAAGCTATGCCCATTTTTGTTGTAAAAAAAAGTTTTTTGTTACGCCAACTTTTTAACAGTAAACTACTATACAAATAAGTTCCTGAACAAATCTCCGAAAATAAAAGTTTCTCAAAAATGACTAAAAATACACTCATTTGCCTTAAAATACTTAGCTATGTCCATTTTTGTCATTGAAATTTAAAAAATATATACTTTTTTGTTACGTCAATTTTTGATCACAGTAAAATACTATAGCAATACGTTCCTAAACAAATCTTGCCTAATAATATGTGGCAATATAATTTTTGTGGTAAAAATATAGAAAATAAATAATTTTTAGTAGGTCAACTACGGCTTTTGAGTTCAACATTTCATTAAAAATTAAATTAAGCTGAACATAGAAAAATATAAACTCAACAGTACGAGTAGAAAAACATCAAAAAACACAGTGAACGTGTTTCCACTCCTGAGTGTTTTGCAAATTAATGCAGACCACAAGGAACACAACCCACTTTTGTATATGTTATGTTTTTTACTTTTTAAATGATGACATTATTGTTATTGTATTGAAATCCTAAAACTTTTACAATCGTTTATTCGTGTGTATCAAAACAATACGTTTACTGCCCTTCGCTTTTATTCTTCCAGCTTCCACCTCTCTGCCGTCACTTAAACAGCATCTTGGAGCTCTCATTATCTGATCCCTATTCATGGGAATATTTTTAAACATCTGGCCCTGTTAATGGGATCACAGCATCAAAATCCCTCCCATTATTCAGCGGTATAAAGCGGCGCTGATCATTCCTCACCTTGCAAATTCATCTGCTGTTTCTGCCTCTTTGTTTGGCCGTTTCAATAACTTGGCATGCAAAGAGAATTCTTTTTAGTTGACAAATGCAAAAAGGAAATGATTTATTGCCGATTTATTTATTCACCCTCCATCTCTCCCCTTCCCACCCCTCTCATCTCCATCACTGTACAGAGGGGAGGTTTTTTAATTTCTTGCATGAAAACAATGCCATTGCTTTTCTGGCTTCACCTGCCAAACAAGCCCCAGCCGTGCATGGCGACAGATGGCCTCCCATCATCGCTGAATGTCTGATTGGTCCTGGGAGAGGACTGTATGTGTGTGTATGTGTGTGTGTCTATGCGTTAGTGAGGGATAAAAAGAGAGAGAGAATATAGGGGCGTCTCACATCCGTCATGCATGTAATGTGTTCTAGTCCCAGGTGAATGCACTCCCTCCCAGCCCACCCTGACGCCTGCACCCCCACCAGCCAGTCAGCCCTGGGGACCGCTGGATAAATGATTTTTCCTCCACATCTGTACACTCCCACCAGACACGCAGGTGTAATTGAGTCCCGGCCTGGTGTGAGTGAGTGTAGACCCGCGGTATCCATTCTTCTTCTTCTTCTTCTTCTTCTTCTTCTCAGCGTCCTGTTGGTGTTTTACGATTCTCTCCCTCCGTGACTCACTCTCAGGACGACTGTGACAAGGAAAGAAAGCAAATGAGGGGGATGATACATGGGGGTGGGGAGAGAAGGAGAGGAGAGGGGTGGGAGGTTAGTGTGTGTGTTCGGAAGTTTTCCTTAGCGTCATATGGCTAAATGATGGGCATTCTCTCCCATTTTTTCCTCCCTCTCTCTCTCTCTCTCTCTCATTCAGCACGCTGCTACCCTGGCACCATCTGCTCAGTATTTAAAATGCAATTCCATAAGTGCGTTAAATATATGGCCACAGAAAATATAAGTCATAAAATATTTTTATGGTGGTGGACTGCTGAAACAAAAGGTTAAAAAAAAAAAAACGGTGCACATGGTTCCCAGTTCCTCTCATGTTTAGAGACACACGTTCTTCCATCCAGTCTTGGACCTAAACCTGTGGACGCCTCAAATTCAACCTTGCATATGATCATTGATTTAATTATTCCTGATCAATGAAACTCTTTCTTCTTGGAATGTTATGGAAGGTGGCCAAAGCAAATCCCTTCCGTTTGGCGTCGGAGCATTAGTGAAGTGTTGGAGGACAACCAGGAAATGTTTTTCCCAAAACTTAAAAGTAAATAAATAATAATAATAATAAAAAAACACATTAGTCTGAAATATAAAACTTGATGTTTAAAGTCTGGATCAAAGGAAACTATAAACCCAATGTAGAAAAGTCAGGACACTGACAATCTTCCTGCTTCACTTTCACAGCAAAGCCGAGGCTCGTACTTTCTACTTTTACGCCCTCCAGAGGCTACCAGGGGTGGTGCGGTCAGGAAAACCTCCAGTCGTTATAGATGTCCATAACAACAAGACACAAGAGCCGTGGAGACCTTTTAACAGGTATAACCACGGTCTGGTCAACTCCGAGTGGCCCGTGGGTCTTTGTCTGAAATGTGTGGTTGTGTCTGTGTGTGTGTGTGTGTGTGTGCACAGCTCTAGGGTGTACATGGCCGACCTGGAATCAACACTGCATTATTCCCTCCGTGTGGAATTGGCTGCTCACACTGTCATCAAAGGCAGAGCCCTGAATCCCCTCAAGAACTACATCGGTGTCCTGGCAAAGGTACAGTCTTCACACTGTGGAGAAAGACACACAAACTGAATTGTTGTGAAGCTTAATGGATCGGTTGGAACAGAACGTATTTTTTAAGGCTAAACTTTGAAGGAATAAGCGACATTTGGTGGTAAAGTCGGATATTGACGTTCAGTCTCCTCCCTTTATTTATCATTAACACTCTATAGGTTTTGTTTCTTGGCTGACGTACAGTAAACAGTGGGCGTTCAACATGGCCGCCTCTGTAATTTGGATTTGTGTAATTTGGAATTTAATGCGAAAGTTAGTTTATCTAAATATTTCACAGCACAACTGCAACACAATTTATTCATTTTTTTTCTTAAATTAATTTATATACAGTATAAGGCCAATGAGCGGCCTGTCTGGGTAGACATCTTTTATCAGGGTTTTTTTTAAATGTTTACATTAAATCATACATATATTTGACAAGTAAAAATATTAATGTCGTTAAAAAGTTTAAAGTTTGTTGGATTCTAAACTCGCGTTAAAAAAATGTGTAGTAACAGCAGGTCGCCACGAGGTGGAGATTAAGACGCTATAATAATCCTTCACTTCAGATTTAGTCCTGTACTCATTTTAATGTAACGTCATGAGATAATCTTAGTGAACAGATGATTTAATTTGTTGAATATTGACACAGTAAATAGTTTTCTGACTGTACACAGTCACAGTCTGACTGTACACAGTCACAGTCTGACTGTACACAGTCACAGTTTGACTGTACACAGTCAGAAAACTATTCACAGCAGCAGCAGTTTTCTCCTGGGTGTAGTTGGCCCTCTTTATTTGGACCCCCCACTGGGAGCGTCCCAGGGGGACTGAAGCGTGGCTGCCACACGTTGACACTGATACATTCAGATGACTGCCAAACCTCACTGGGATACCCCCTCCCCTTCCTTCCTTCATTCCTTCCACCCTTCCTTCCTTCCTTCCTTCCTTCCTTCCTTCCATCCTTCCTTCCGTCCTTCCACCCTTCCTTCCATCCTTCCTTGTCTTTTTAAATTCTCTTCTCCCTTTTTTATCATTTGCACCCGTTTCTCGTCTCCTCATTTCTATTCTGACCTCTTCTCCACCTGTTAGGTCTGATTCACATTATGACATCTTTATTGATCCCAGGAGGGCAGTTCATTTGCAACTTTACCCCTATTTACAACCACACAATCCGGAATCAATGTTTTGTGTCAAAGATACTGAGCAGCAAACCAAGCCATGTTTAAAGGAAAATAATATAAATGTGAAAATACACAGACGCACTGACACTGACGTTGGTCTGTTCTGTTCAGTCCACAGTCATACATTATTTATACATGTTCTATTTGGTTCAAATTGTGAAAAAGCTACAGTTTGGATTTTATTTTTTTCATTTTTTAAATAGTCACATTATCAGTATTTTATCAGTAAATATTTTTTACATTTTTTTGTTATTTAGTTTTTGTTACTAACACACAATCACCCTCTGTGTTTTCGACACAACTGTGCCTTTTGTCCAAACGTGGTCATGACGAGGCCTGACCTGCTCCGTCCCTATTGGCCGTCTCACTGCCCTAGTCCAGCGCCAATCTCTCTGATTATATCTCACTCTCCTGGGAGGTGTTGTGTGTGTGTGTGTGTGTGTGTGTGTGTGTGTGTGTGGCCTACCATTAGCTTGAGTTTGTTTAGTCAATAGCTTCTGGTCCCAGTGGTATTTTTAGCCTGTCATCCTCCTCCTCACCACCACCACCACCGTCAGACTGGACCAGCGTCTCTCAGCTGGGCTCTGTGTGAGGAGAAGGTCATCACATGTTACTCAGCTGTGACTTGTTAACTGCTAACATTGGAACAAACTGACCACTGAGAGGCAGCTTCGTTCTAGCAGAGTTCAGAGAAGCTGGAGAAGGAAATGAAATGGATGAAATTGTCTGAATAGAAAAAAATTAAACCAGAGTTTTGTCGGAGCAGGAGCTGAAGACCACGACAACTGAGAGATGATTTTGATTTGAAGGCACAGAGCAGTGAGTCAGTCGACAGTCGACTGACACTGTTACAAACTGGATTTCCAGTGACGGTCGACCGATTGATATTGTTGAGTTTGGAAAATAAGTTTTTTCTACGAACCACTTTAAATATATACAGTTATGACTCAAATCAACAAATCTGTGAGGGAAATTTTTGAGATATTATTTTTCATATTTTTCTTAACATTTGTCCAAATTAATGATTTTATCATTTGATTAAACACAAATAAAAACATACGTCTTCGTGCTGCTGTCAGCCCTCTGTTCCAGGAATATACAGAAACATTTTTGTTTTAATGTTTGCTGTTATATTATCTGGATTAATCACAACTCAGATTGAACATTTTTGACATAATTAATTAGTAATTAATAAACATAACTAGATTGTTTTTCTTATCTCTATCAGCTGCTGTATTTTTTTTATGAATATTCAAATGACTAACGACTCGTTATGAAGATGAAGTCACTGTTTTAACCACACTCTCCATGATCACTTAGACCATATGCTAATCTCCTTACATGAGTCATGTGATTAGATCAGAGCTCAGGTGACTCAGAGCGTCACAACAACGCAGGTGTCATGGGTTTTTTTTACTGGTGACACGGTCACTCAATCATCAAACACGTTTTAAATATTCACCAAAAAGAACAATTAGTGCAGAGTGCAGTTGTGCTCAGTGACGTGTGTCTGTTTGTTTGGATGATTCATGTGCACGGCGGCGTCCACTTCTCATCATTTTCATTAGAGAATAAACGGCAAATTTATTCTTGATTAATCATTTTGTCAATAAAAGTCAGAAAATTCTGCTCATTAGTTTCAATTGTAATTTGCTGAGTGGCAAAAATATACAAGGTTTACACTGTTGACTGCAGGACACATTCATCATAAACTCTTACGTTTAAGAAGTTATTAAGTATCTTGAATGGTTGCCAGTTGAAGTCATTTAAAATAATGGTTTTAAAGGTTGGTTGATCATGTGACTTTTTAATCTTCTCGTCTTGGCCCTAAATTCTACAACATCTTCTCTCCGAGTGTTTTAACGTCGTGATTGACTTCTTCTTCTGTGATCTACAATCATTCTTTCAGATCTCTTTACATCTCCAGACAGACATGTAAACATGAAGGAGGGTTTTTTTTTTTTTCATCCAGTCACAACAGTACTAGATTTACTGTCTTGTCAGGCTGGAGGCGGATTTATGAATCCTCTGCATGTACATGAGGATTAGAGGAGAGGATCTTAGGGAGCATGAGAGCATTACAGGCAGGTTTTAAGGATTACATCTCTATCCTGCTTTTCTTGAAAGAAGCCTCTGAGCCTGCAGGGAAACGGAGGGGGCAGCAGAATAAAACAAAGAATTTAGGTGGGGGGGAGGGTCGCTGCAGCTCTGGTCTTTCTTATGCCAGGATGGGAAGTAAAGACTTTAATAACAAAGATGTTTAGAGCAGCTGTCTGTATTTAGGGTCTGAATTACCTTCTTTAAAATAATTTACTCATAGAAAAAAAGATAAGAGATTTTTTTTTTCTAACCCTCTGGAACGTGTTTGCTGGCCGTCCTCCGAGGGTGAGGCGATTGCTTTAATATCCAGGGATTTCACCCTCGTCCTCCGCCCAGAGAACCTGACCTGGTTTGTGTTGCTGCGGCCAGATGCCTCCATCTGAGGAAGTTGGCCACGAGGAGATTGTGGTTTCTCAAGTGCTGCTGATACTAATCAGATTAAAGATGACATATTGCCCGGGTGAAGGGGATTGTCATGGTGCAACAAGGATAGGGGAAGGGAAGGGGAGTGAATGGGGGAGAACAGGGTCAGATCAGGGGACGTTGTTGTCGTCTCTCTAACACACACACACACACACTGCTACAGAAACTCAGAGGTTTCAACAGCGAGTCAAACATCTGAACGGAATCTGGTGGAGATTTAAAAAATAAAAATATCCGTTTTTAGTTTCTTACCTTTTTTTCCATTTGTCTGATCATCAGTTTGTCTGGATCTGTTTGTAGACAGAGTGAAGAAAAACATGAACAACAACCACAATCACAACGACACTAAACACAACCATGTGAACAGAGTCACAGTGTAATAACTTGTCCAGACCAACGACCAATGTCTTTTACTATTTTGTTTATCACTAAAACAGTTTGAGTGTGATTATACAATCTGATTGGATGATTTATTATCAGTTGTTTTATAGCGGATTGTGCAACAGGATTGGTCAGAATTAAGGAAATGAATTTGGACCAAAGAAACAGGACGAACGGAGCCATTTCAACAACGTGTGTCTCAGACGACGCTAAAACATTTAAAGGATTAATCCGTCGTATTTGTTTTTTTTTGGACTCCAGGTCCAACTCATGAATACTGTTCCGTCGGTGATGCTGAGTTAAACCCATTAGTGTGAAACACCTGCGTTTTCTGGTCTGGTTAAATTCATGGGACTCTTTAATGAGCTTTTCTAACTGGTTAACATTCAGACCTAAACCTATTACATCACTGACTTGGCACCGAGCAGCACACATCACAGGCCTTTTGTCTGTTCTTTCTAAGTCAGGTTTATTTTCTGGAAATAAACATCGGCCATTTAAGAGCAGCAATTTATTTATTGTTGTTGATTTCAATTCCGCCTCATGTAATGAAGGTTGTTCATTACATGAAAAAAAAAAAAATTGAAGTATACTGTTATAAATTAGTCTGTGGTGTCAAACTCATGTAGTTCAGGGTTAGGTTACAATAAGGCCACATTTTTCCCCTTTTCATGCAAAGAAGTACAAATGTATTAGAAAATCTTCATATTTAATGTAATATAATTTTACAAAACATGAACATAAAGTGTTTGTGCTTTTTTTTAACTTTTAAAAGGTATCAAATGGGCCAGATTGAACCTCCTTTTGGGCCTGTTTTGGCCTGTGGGCCGTATGTTTGACACCCATGAATTAGACCCTTAAAAGTTGTGGTGAATTGGTTTGCAGTAAAATTGACTTTTACACAGTATTGTATATAAAGAAAGTAAAAACTAAAGAGACAAACAGAACTTTAGATTTGGTCGAAGGAGAAGATAAACATTCAAGATCTCAAGTTCTACTCTGAATGGCTGAAATATTCAGTATCGTAGTGGCATGGATTGCGTTCATCATTTCAAAACCAACTTCACACAAAGGGTGTTTCACTTGTGATCAGTGAGGTTAAAGGGATTCCACTCACCCAGAAAAATCAAAACCTTAAGCCAATTCTCCACAGACCGTGTGTCCCGTCCATCTGCTGGACGGCCGTGGAGACGCCGTGGCCGCGCAGTCCTCGGCGTTAGCCTTGGACCTGGACGATTAAGCCAATTGTTGTGACGTCTGTCTGAGTGGTCAGGGTGTAATTCAGATCCTGTTACAGAGAGTTAAAAGTCCAGGCAGTGTTTAAAGGCATGAGTGTGTGTGTGTGTGTGTGTGTGTGCAGGTGTGTAAGCAGATGGTGGAGGCCAAATTAAAAAGGTTCACTGATCCAATTCCAGGAGGTCCACATGTCAAACGACATGTTTATGTGGCCGTCTTGGTTTAAACTTTAAAAAAAAAAAGAAAAAGAAAAAGAAAAAGCTGTTTCTATCATTGAGGTGAAAACAGGAACGTTGCCATGGAGAAAGGAAGTCCTCGAGTCTAAGTTTTGGAAACAGCTTGATCCCCTTCAAAAAGTCTATTGTTTTTTCTACAGGAACATTTTCATAATCTGTTCCACGCAGAGAAGCTCACTGTAAACACTGAAAGAACTCACTGTCATTACACTCGGGACTTCAGCTGCGTCTTTTGTGAGCGCTGCATGTGTAAAGACACGTTTGTCTCTGTCCGACTTTACTCTGTCATCACCGGCCTCAAAAACACAGCGGCTGGATTTCCTCCACAGAACGGCAGTGTCACGTTTCCTCCCAAGGCGGTTGTTTCTAGGGACACGGTTGGGGGGAAAGAGGGGATAAAGGCCAAGGGACAAAAGCTGAGCCGGTGGAAGTTGAGAGGCTGTTAGTGGCTTAGGAAATGGATCTTAATGAAGGAAAAGGCTTAGGCTAAACTGTTGTTATCACATTTACTGATATTCTGTTGAGGCACAGAGCAGGAAAAACACCTCAACCACAAACTTTTGTCTAATACGTAGTCATTATCCTCAGCCATTTTCCGAGGCTGATTACCAGGCACTGTGAAGGGAATGTAACTTAGAATTACAGAATGAACACTTACGCCACCACAGGTTATTAGCAACAAAGCTAATATTTCAGTCATCCTCTGGATTTTGGATGTCATTTCTCAGGTCAACTTTCCTGTTGGGAATTTAAATGTTTCCTCTAGTCTTGTACAGCACCGATTTAAAGCTATTTGGTTTAATGGGCAAAACAAACACTTCAGAAAAAATCATCTGTAGAAAAAAATAAAGATTTTCTAAAATGTTAGGGTCTCCTTCTACACTGTGTTTGCACCTTTGTCTTTATGTAATCACTGTTTGTTTTTTGTACTGTTTTCTGTCTGCAGTACTTCCCAGGCAGACCAATAGTGATGAACACACTGAACTCTTTGAACTCTTGGCTGCAGAACCAGAGTCAAGATGAGATTTTATACAAGGATTTCAAAGAGATACTGGACAACACAGCTCAGGTAAGTCAAGACTAAAAATATTAAATGTTTTGTTAAATGTCTGTCCTTTAGAGACACTGAAATAAGGACAGTCATCGATTACCAATGAACTGTTGGAACAAAAGAAATTTGTCAATTTGTCTGAAGTTCCTACGTCAGATTGCTCCTTATTTTACATCTAAAATGTTGTTGCACATACATGACAACATGACGTGATGTGTAACAAGACATGTCTTCAACATCTATAGTTTGACCTGGGGGTCAGTCCACATCAACAGGATGTTTTGTCACAGTCCATACCTGTTATGATGAAGAGTGCAGTCAAAGTGTCGTCAAGTTACAGCTCCTCCATTGTCAAGATACTGCAGTCGTTTCTCCTCTACATTAAATTTCAAGATACTGCAGTTGTTTCTCCTCTACATTAAAAGAGAAATTAGAGTTAGTGAAGGTTAAAGAACATCTCTATAATTCTGAAGACTTCATACCAGGAGGATGTCTGTCTGGAGGTAACCACCGTGTCAGGTCAAAAACCACCTGAGAGACGGCGGTTGATGCCCAGAAGAAACACCGACACATTTCCACAAAGTCTTCTAAGAACGTGTGTTCTGGTGGAGGTTTGGTGTGTTACCGTACCTCGTAGCAGCTCGTACAGCGGACGATCGGTGTTGTCTTTGGAACGGAGCCGAGGGCCGGCGGTACACAGCTCTGGACAAATTGAAAGAGTCACTTACTTACATCATTAGCTTTTAGCAGGCAAATCAATGGATCAATGAATCAATGAGATGGTATGAATAGACTTCAGCCTCAGAGGAAATGGACTCACACACACACACACACACACACAAATCTTTACTATTGACATGTGAGTAACCCTGTCAATCACCATCGCAGTGGTAAAGCGGCGTGCCTGGAGAAATGACTTTGTGTCAGAGAAAATATGTCGTTGGACTCCAGCAGGGCTTCTGGGTAGAGATCTGTAGAGGCTGAAGCCATTAACCTGGGATTGACTTCTCATTGATCAGAAAAACTACACTGAAGGGCTTTCACTGACTTCAACTGAAACAGAGACACAGAAAAAAAAACCTGCTTTTTTCAGTTCCTGTAATTCTCTCTGTAAGAATGTTAGTGTTTTTTAAATATTGAAACTAAATTCTTTTAAAAATGAGTTTAATGTAGAGTCTAAACCAAACACCACTGTTTCTGTAGGATCATAATTCCACTGTAGGTTCTTTTTAAAATAAGTAAAAGAACAACTATGTTATTCAGTATCATGTAAAGTTATAAGACATTTTATCATCATTTATTTTAATTATTATTATTATTCCATAATAATGTGTTATATATTTTTTCTTCTGTCCTTAACTGAACATTATGCAATTAATACAAGAACAAGGAGCAATAACATGGATGCACGTATATAAATATTTGTGTGAGTTGTGTGACAGCACTGACACTTCCTGCCTCTGGTGTTTGTGTTAACTTTCTCTCTCTCTCTCTCTCTCTCTCTCTCTCCCAGTCTCCAGACACCGCTCTGCCTCGGGGTGAGAGGTGGGTGGCCTGTCAGGGCTCTCAGCTCCACTTCAGACGTTATCCCTGTGGGATGTGGACTCTCTTCCACGTTCTCACCGTGGAGGCCAAGAAGGCAGAAGCCTCCAGTAAATACAAACAAACACAGACGCACCGACAAACAGCAAACAGCCAGGGCACCCAAAGGTCACACAGATGGGGGGGGGCTGAACTGAGGCTGAGGGCTTCGTAAACAAATTAGCCCAGGAATGTGGGCTACTGTTTTCACACTGACCTAATTCCTGCCTCAAACACACACACAGAGTTCAGCCCAGACGTGTGTCGTGCCGATGTTTGGCCCTGAATGTTTATGATGGGGTTTTTTTATTTATTTTTTTCTTCCTGTGCTTTGTTGTGTTGTATTAATATCTCAAATTGAGCCTAATTGCAAGTGTGTGAAAAGAGATTACGCTAGATTAGTGGAATGTGGGTGGTTAATAAAACACACTCACACACAGGCTCCACTTCTGGCTGGGATGTTAATCTGCCTTCACCAGACACACACACACACACATTCACACACAAACATTAATCCAGAGCTTTACTTACTGTCATGTGACCCACAGATGGACTGCTCAGAAGAGTGGGGGGTCCAACTGCCCCCCCCTCCCACAGACACACTCCTACAAAATGATAAACACAGTCAAACTGAATCCACACCAAAGTCAAAGTTTTGGCTAAAACAACCTATCACATATACACACATACTCACCTGGGGGGGGGGTTGGGAGGGGGGCATCCAGAGCCACACTCCTCTTCATCCAAATCCTCTTCTGAACTTCCGCCTAAGCTGGGAACAAATGAAATGCATCACTCTTGGAGAATATGTTTGTGTTCCGTTGAGGTCCTGGGACAACGGAGCGGCCTCCATTCACACAGTGGTTTACTGGGCTCTAATCTCCACACCGGGGTGTCCCGTTGGCACAGATTATCCCTCTCAGTATGGAGAGCACCTCAGTATTAACCCAGCTCTCTGACTCCTGGCCCACATGGCCGTGGGAATCCCCCCACGGTGTGAACGCACACCGCGAACATCACTTAAAGTAATGCACATTTACAGTGTTTTTGACATTTACAATGAAAGGATGAGATTATGTCGATCCACCGCTGCTGCTGCTGCTGCTGCTGCTGCTGCTGCTGCTGTGGACCGACAGATCATTAAAGAAAACCTCTACTGATGACAACAGGTGCTGGACCACCAATGAAACCCTGTTTTTGTTTCACTCCCTCCTCAGATCAGCTTGAAGTGCCGCTTGCGATGAGGAACTACATCCACGCTTTCTTCGGCTGCAGGTATTGTGCTGAGCACTTTGATAACCTGGTGAGGGGAAGTCTGCTGGAGAACGAAGCCGTTTTGTGGCTGTGGTCCATACACAATGAGGTTAACAGCAGACTTTCAGGTAAGCAATAAAAAAGTGCAGACAAACATTTAAATTATTTTAAATGTCCCTTTTAGTTCAAATTATATATATATATATATATATATATAAGTACAAACACAGAGCTGCAGTGGAACCTGTCGAGTTTCTTCCCACTGAAGGTCACTCCATACTTTGACACAATCAACAATAACGTTTTTCTTTTTCAGTCAATATTTGTCCAAAGTAATTCCAGGAAAAGCCAACATCACTCAATCATTTTGAGCAGTACATCTTTTTTAAAATTGAAGTCCATACTCACTTCATACTTTGAGAATCTCAAAATGTTAGTATTGAAGTCTGTTTTTAATGAACTCAAAACTAAAAAAAACTTTTTAAGACTTTGATTTGTTTGTTAATTTGATTGTCAGCGATCTCTTCTTATTCTGTAAAGAAATTCACATCCATTTTTCTTTCGACTTCTACGACTTCTTTTGACTTATTCCCTTTGTTCACATCTGCCACACAAGTGCCAGAGAGCCCTGGAGGTTCTCTCCTCCCCGGTCTGTCTCCATGATTTATTGGACCACAGGACTGACATCAATCTCTTTTGTTAAACCAATATCTTTTGTTTGCTTCTGTCTCCCCCCTGTTTTAGTTTCAGGGACAGATTGTGTCCCGAACACTGGAGCGACCAAAAGAACAGTCACTTGACGCATGTGCCTTCTCCAGACACTGACGCGTCATTCCGTCTCTCCCCTTTATCTACGCGTGTTCTCTCTCATCCTCTGTGTTCCTCTCTCTCTCTCTCTCTCTCTCTCCCCTGGGACACATAGCCTCCACTCCACAAGTAATAGCGCAGCATCTTCACAGAATGGATCCCACAGGAGCCACCCTTCTTACACACACACACACACACACATCCCAAGGTATTGTGTGACAGCAGGTGGTAAACCACATGACACAAGCCCCCCCCTCTCCTCCCCTCCCCTCCCCTCCCTACCCTTGTCTTTCTGCCCTTTACCAAACACACTCCAGGCGTGGGTCAAGTTGGCGTGTGGCAGGAGGAGTGAGTCACGGTGGAGGGAGAGCACAGCTCCGCTGGGAATAGACTTGGTGATTCAGGAGGAGAAGAGGGAGGAGCCGAGGGGTTTGTCCGTGTTTGTAGACCCCCCCCCCCCTTAGGAGAGTACACTCCATCCACTCGGCCCCTCCTTCCTCTTTTGCCTAAACAGGAGCTCTTTAGCAGGGCTCCCCGCCCCTCCTTTTCAGGAGCAGCCGTGCATGAAAGAGCATCTATTTGTAAAGCGGACGAACAATTAATTTAGCCTGCAACAAAGAGGCCCCAGGGGCCCGGGGCCCCGGGCTCTTCCTCCGTCCTGTTGCTGCCTGTCAACAGGCTGAGGCTCAGTCACATTTCTACAGACAGAAACACCACGTCGTTCACCTGCAGCTCGCTGGGAGTTTGAGTTATATTATCATGTTCATAACATTTAATTTATTTATTTATTTGGGCTTCCTTGTATTTAAAATAGGATTTTTTTTATTTAACAATATTATTATTTATATTAAACATTTTTATTCTGTCAGTGTACAAAATATTTAGTATCCAATTCCCCTGTAGTAAAGTGCAGTGTATTATTCAGTGATTTAACTGAAGCGTCGCCGCTCTGTTAATGCCATATTACACTGAACAGCACTTCATCATCCGACGGTTCTCCGTCTACTGTACGTCCGATTTTTAACAAGTCAACAATTTCAGATTAAGGAGTTCTTCAGAACGACCCAAAAACCGTCTGACATCAGCTGCTCTACGTTGAGGACGTGCTGAACAACACACACATTCACAGCTGATGAATATGTGTGTGCGGTGGAGCCCACGTCTCCGTGACAGGCCGCTGTGGCAAATCTGAGCCTGGCTGCTATGGCTAAAGTCACCCTGGCCGCACATGTGGCGCGCTCATTAGAATAAGGAACGAGGTGTGTGCATGTGCGTGCGTGCGTGCGCTCTTACCTGCTGAAATGTTTAAAAGCCCCCTCCCCCCCCCACACACACACACATGTCCCATCCAGGACAGGGTGAAATTGATGTATCCTTTATGTAAAGCACTGTATGCAGAGTACATACAGGCATGCATATGAGTGAGATTAATCTTGAGT